CTGTGTGTGTGTGTGTGTGTGTGTGTGTGTGTGTGTGTGTGTGTGTGTGTGTGTGTGTGTGTGTGTGTGTGTAGAGAGGGGGAGAGAGAGAGCAGCGCAGCAGTCAGCTCTCCCCACCCGAGGCTGAAGGTCAACAGACGATCATGCTAAGCTTGCTAACAGCTCCACCCTCTGACTGCTGCAGGGGCGTGTCTTAGAGAGAGGCTTTTATACCAGAACACAGCCGCTGTGACGAAACTGTGGAGAAGCACGTCACAGAGGAGAACCGTTAACCAATATGCAAATTAGCCTGCAGTACCACTGCTCCACCCATATGAGCAGCAAAAAGACCTTTTTAGACCAAATGCTAGAGATTTGGACAAATACGCACAAAAACATCAAAATTAGCACAGAAACAGTACTAAATAACATTTCAGACACATTCTAGACAGTTTATCAGCTAAAAAAGTTAATTTTGGGGTAAGTTACTCTTTAAACTTTTAGCTAGGTTCGTGTTGTTTTAGCTAGTCTTCTGATTCTTGAGCTTGCAGTTATAGCATTTTGTAGTTTTTAGCTCCTCACTAGCCATGTGCTACTTTTAGCTTGTGTTTTGCTAAATTTAGCTTTTATATACCTTTTGTTGCTTTCAGCCTCTATCTAGATTTTTCCTACTGGTGGTTTAAATCCAGACCTATAATTTTTTTAGGTTGCCTTTTTCTACTTTTAGCTAGCATCTTGCTGCCTTAGCTTTAAGCTAGCCTTTGGTCACTTTTCACTAGTGTTTTGCATCTCAACTTAACAATTTTCAGGGTTTTTAACAAATGTTATCAGTCATTTAGCAGTTATTTTTCACAGAGAATGCAGTTTTATTAGTTTTGTGTTCTTATTGATATTCAATTAAATTTTCAGGTGACCTTCTTGTGCTCCACGATCCTTAATTTTGAAAGCCTCCGGACCCGATCCACCGAGGCTCTCAGCATGGATGCAGCCCTGTTTGAGCTGCTGAAACGCTGCCAGCAGACCTGCTCCTATGCTGCCCAGTTCAGCAGCACGGTGTCTCCACTGGAGCTTCAACTTTTACACAGACTGGTGAATTTAACTTCTGACCTCCAGTTTATTGATGTGTCAGGTCTCTTAAGTCTCAGTGGTATCAGATCCATTACATGTTATTTTTACGTTTTTGTCAGCTCATTGATTTCAGGATTGATTTCACTCTGAAAAGAGAATAATCTTCAAGACTTAAATAAAAATAATGTTTTGTTTTGCCAGGGCCCGGTGACAGACCTATCAATAGGCAGTCCTGACTGGCTGAGCTGCGCCCAGAGACAGCTGGAGGAGAATCTGGGAATGGAGCGGAGGAACCAGGAGGAGCAGGAGCAGCAGCTCGAGGCTTGTGGGGAAACGCTGCAGCTGCTTGTCGACTCCATTAAGACTATTCTCTCCAACCACAACCGTTTACTGGCCGATGTCAAACACCTGCTTAGAGCAATGGCAAAGGTACACACAAGGCCCGACGCACTGCAGGGTTTTACAAAGTAACACTGCTTTTTCAGCCTCATGCATGATTTTGTATGCAAACGTTCATTTGAATCTGTTTAAAACAAAATATCATACTCCACCTGCGAGCCAGTAGTCATTGTCGGTTCGTGTGTCGTACAGGATGAGGAGGCAGCACTAGCAGATGGTGAAGAGGTGGCGTATGAGGGCAGTGTACGGCACTACTTGTTGGAGTACAAAGCCTGGCAAGACAACGTCCAGCTGGTTTTATTCACTGTGGTTCAAGCCAGTGGGCAGCATCGCAACCAGGATCAGCTGGATCTTCTGGAAGAGATCCCTGCTACCTTAAAGGAGCTGCACACCCAGAGCCTGAGGTAAAACTAAAAACACATTTACACTAAAAAAAGCAGATTTGTGTGAGAGTATACATACTCTCATTTCCTGTCATGAATCCTGTCCTGATTTGTGATCCTCTCTGTCACAACAGTGTTTATAATGGTTTGGTGGGCTTTGCCTCCCCTCTGGTGACAGACAGAGAAGCTGAGTGCACCAGTCCTGTTTCTTCAGCTCAAACAAGCTTCGCAGCAGGTATGGAACAGAAACTTTAAAAGGTTTTTTTTTTTTTTTTTTTTGTTCTTGTTATTCACCGAAAATCTGCAAACTTTAGGTGTAAAGATGGTAACAAAAGTGAAAGAAGATGTTTCAGTTTTAAAGTTACCAATCTGTACCGAAAGCCGTTTTTTATTTTAGCTGTATGAGTTTTCTGAATACCGAACATACCGGTTTAAATAAGCAGAACATGTTCGGAACGTTACGTCGTGCCCGCCATCGTACTGTGTCATGGAGGACACTTCTCCTCGCAGCACCGCTATGCGCATTAGCAAGCTAGCAGGTTCTCAGTATCAAGCAGCATGTGGCGACTCAGCTGCTTATATTGACTAACTTTCAAAAAAAATTTCCCAGTTTTCACCATCGCTGACTGTAGTATATATATATATATATATATATATGTGATGTGCACAGATAGATTTCATGCTCACTGTAAATGTATGGAAACGTTCTTTGTGAAAAACCCCGGGGGGCAGTGGTTTTCTACTGCGAGAGCTTTATTGAAAAACACAAAACAATAGACCAGATAATGATCTTTGCTCAACCCTCCTCCTTCACAACCAAACCAAAATGCGTGGTTACTCTCTACAACCAGGCAGAGAAGAAAAGGCAGAAGAAGAGGAGGGAAACCAACACAGTGAAAGAAAAAAGGTTAATAAATAGTTTGTGTTTCAGAAAGAGAGTAACTTCAGCTGCTGGTGGTTGCTAATCAATAAACAACATTTGGGTATTTTATTATCAGCTGAGCTGTGATGAAAAGAAAAATACCATTAAATACCATGATACTGGTATAATTGTTGAAAATACTGTGATATGAAATGTGGGTCGTACCGCCCAGGTCTAATCAGGGTAGAGCTGGGCGATATGATCAAAATTTTATACAGTATCACGGTATTTTCAACATTTTCACCGGTCATACCTCCCAGCCCTATATCCAGCCATTGCTATTGTTTATATACTTATAAGAGCTGTGGGAGGGCAGAAGGAGGTTAGTTCAGTGAGATGACTACATAATTAGAAATCAAACGCAATGTTTTGAAAACAAATTTCACTAAATTTAAAGTTTTGAAACTGAATTGATTTGCTTTGAATCAAACACAGATTGACAGTCTTTTCTGCACAACGTTGTGTGTTGTTTGGGTTCAGCTGTAAGATGCAGTGGAGTGAAGACCCAGCCAGACTCCATGTCCCAGAATGCACGCAAAGTGGTGCCACGTAACTTGGGGACACCCACAGACACCCCACCGAGCACGCTGCTGATGAACAGCAAAGGTCTCAACCCCAGTCCAAAGAAGGCCGTACGAGACCCCAAAACAGGACGAGGTACCGCTCTGCGCTCTCAGCACAGTCTGCTGATGTCACCACACGCTTTCCAACAGGCTTTTTATTTTCTGTTGCAGCTGTCCAAGAGAGGAACTCATATGCAGTCAGTGTGTGGAAGAGGGTTAAAGCCAAGCTGGAAGGCAGAGACGTGGATCCCAACAGAAGAATGAGTGTCACAGAGCAGGTACCACACACCACCATGTCCTCAGGCCTTATAGCATTCCACATCATTAACATCATGTTCACTGGACTTCATTTAAGCTGCAGAATTATGTCAAAAGTTAAAGTAAAATTAAAGGCAATGCATGAAAAATAACAAAATTTAGAACAGATAAGTTTATTACAAATGAAGTTAAAAAGAATGAAATGCTTTGACTTTAAATTTTACTAGTCAGGTTGAGCAATGGTTTTAGTTTTTCCTGTAATTTCTTGTGTTGGATTGGTGTAAACTGAGCAGGAGAGCATCAGATGAGTCCTGGAACCAGCTCAGAAACTACAAACACGTCATTGAATCTGTAACTTTCTAGTGGAGTTTGATGCTGAAATAAGGCCTGCTCTGAACCTGATATGTATTACACCACTCATGTCAGCCCTGCGTATAATTATCTAAGATAATTTATATTGTGGAGCAAATAGTTTAACTAAAGAAATTAGCATTTGCTTAATAAATGTAGTGCTAATGTTGAGTGCTGAAGATGACTTGCTAAAGTTTAAAACCATCAAATTTAATAAAAATGGTTGAAGCTTCTTCCAGCTTTTTCTCTTGTTATTGTGTAGCTCAAAGGATAGAACAAGTAGAAAAAAGCTCAAATTAGCTAAATCAAAGTAGCTAAAAGTTTTAAAATATGCAAAATGCTAATTTTTAATCTTTAAAATCATAAACTCACAAATTTCTTAGTTCCTCTAGCAATATAAAGCTAAATTGATGTTTTTAAAAATTGCAGAAGATAAATTTAAAAGACTAAAATTTAACATTAACATCTAGTCCACCATGTGGCAGCAGGAATAATGTGCTGCTGCACTCAGGTTTTGTCTTTTGAAGCCCTCCTCCAGTGTTCAGTTCTACTTCCTGTTTCTGGGCCCAGACCTCAGTTTTACTTGCTGCGCAGTGTCTGCTTGTAGTTTATTTTTACCTGGGCCAATCAGCAAACAGAGGGCGGAGTTTTGAATGACGACGATGTTCTGCACAGTGTCTGCTAGTTAGTTTAGCATACGGCAGTGGAGGAAGTGAATGAAGCCAGTCTGTGTTGATAAGGCTTCCAAATTAAAATAAATTTGTCTGACAAAGCAGCAGCTCTCATTTACAGCCGTCTCATTTGGCTCGGTATATTTCTCCTCTCAGCAGGGTTGTTTACAGCAAACGCGATTTCCGGTTAGCTTCTTAGCTTAGCCTCCTTCACAGCGACAACACACACACACACTTCAGCAGAGGCCACGCCAATAGCAGCAAGTCCAGACCCTCTGTACGAAGCAAAGTGAAGGACAGGGTCTGGTTTTAACCAGGCTACAGTTTTACAGTCACCAACTAAACTTCAACACAGATGTCAAACCAAACTTGTGATGTGACAAACATAAGTCAACACAACTTCATAGATCACAGGCGTTGGTCTCTTTTAAAGGTGAAATTTGAGAAAATAGAGAATAGGGAAACTACATTGTGGTGCATTGCATGCTGGGTAATGACGGGCATGCTTTACGATAAAGCCAGGAGGCGGAGCTACAGCTGATGAACAGGAAAAGCGGACGTGTGAGGAGAAAAAGTTACAGCCTGTGAAATTGTGTTTCTGCTCATTTAGTTCTTATACAGTATTTAAACATTAACACAAAAAATAAAAAGAACTGTTTGATTCAGATTAAAACAAACATGTTTCAACTTTTTAAAATTTTGTAACAAACTCAAGAAATATCTGTGACTGATGTACCAGCTGCAAAGGATGCTGGGAAAACATCTGAAAAGGATTATTTTCAGATTTATTTCTTTTTACAGTAGATTTAGGTGTAGAGTTGTTCAGCTTTTGCTTAAAATTAATATGAAAGTCCCTGTTTTTGTCTGTAAACTGAAACCATGAGGATGGGTTTAAGAGCAGAGAACGTATTTGTCTTTATGTTTATGCTTACAGCCCAGCTTTGTTGAGAATGTCACTGCTACATGTGAAAGTCAATAATATTGAATATATGAAGGGTGTAGCGACACATAAACGACTTTTAGCCACAAACAAAATAACCAGTATTAATTTAGCATGTGTTAAGTCCGTTACTACTTTATAAAGTGAATGCAAATGCTAACCGCTCATCAAAGTATTTGTGGCGCTAATAAGCAGGTTAGCAGATGAGTGGAACTGTGCCCACCACTGGAAGGATCTATAAACAGAATACTGACTCAGCATCAATGTATCACAACAACGAAGAAAGACCAAATACCATGAGTGCTGGCAGAGAGGCGGAGCAGGAATGAAGTGTTTTCTGCAGCTACACTCTTCCTGTATTTTAAAGTTATTAGCCACGTGTTGAATGTGAAGGTGAATGCTGCCCTCCTACATGTTTTAAGCTGCCGTCCTGTCGTGTCGTTGCAGGTGGACGTTGTCATTAAAGAGGCCACCAACATGGACAACCTGGCCCAGTTATATGAGGGGTGGACAGCCTGGGTGTGAGCGCTACGCTGCTTCATGTCTTTGGTCCAGCGAAGGCTTGGAGATGCACCAGAGTCCTGCGGCGCTTGGGTGTGGGAAGAGCAGCACCGGGCCACCCAAGGAGGAGTCAAAGGGAGGCGGATGCTTCGTCCGCCCTTCCGTACTCCCGGGCAACCAAACTGGGGCAGCGACCTCGTGGCATCGCTGCAACCACACTCTCCCCCCCCAACAACCACCGGCAACCAGGCTAACACAGTGCTTAGTGGGCCTGCAGACCCACCTTCCTGAATCAGGGTTTGGGTGGGTGGCAAAAAACCCCGGTGCCGGACGTGGGGAGAGGGGGGAAGGAGGGGAAAGTTCTCCTTGCCCTTCGACTTGGAAATCCCTTCCCCCCTTACCTGCATAGCTCGTCTTCAAGTTGTACCTATAAACATCACTGCCTCCGTCTGAGGGCGGGGTGGAGAGGTGAGCTGTTTTCCTCTGAAGGCGCCTTCAGGGAGGACTGTACCAGGGTCCAGTCTCAGAAGGACAGGACATCATGGGCACTCTTTCTTTTCACCTTTCGCTTCTGTGACGTGTGATTCGGACGGCGGGCGTGTCTCTGATGAGAACAAAGAAGGAACAGGATTCTTCACGGACACTGAAACCTTAAAAAGTGCTTCGATTAGAAAACGGTGACGATGCGAATGTTGTCAAATTTGAACAGATCAAAAAAATAAATAAAAAACCAGTATAATTCTTGTGCGTTTGTGGATTCAACTGAAACAACACGTCACCTGAAATAGTTTTGGATGGCTCATCGATGAGAATAAAAGCAGTCGTTACAAGATGAGAACCTCTTAGTTTTTCCTTAATTCTTAATCTTTAGTCTGTGCTGTGCTTTGTAACTATTTGTAGGAGTAGACTTCTTTTTCCCCCTTTTTTTCTTTTTTTTTCTTTTTTTCCTTTTTTTTGACTTGCCTGTTGCATTTTATGAATCTTGACTAATCTAGTTTTACAGTTTTATTCTGAAACATTCTGTTTGTGGTGATGGTGAAACATGTTAACTCCAAAGTTTTTATTGATATTTGTTGGATGCCAAATAAACGTGAAACTGAGAGGCGTTGTTTTCTTTAAGCCGTCGGCCCGCCTGCAGCGCAGCGTTCAGCTAGCAGCTTGTGATCAATGGTTCAAAGTTCACACTCAGCTCTGTTTCATCACCTGTCACCAAAACTAAACACAGGATATGAAGTCTGGTAAACCAGAGTCATAACCGCAGACGTAATCTTGTGTAAACTCAGAGGAAACTTCACAGAGAAGTCATGCAGGGGCTGTGGATCGATAAAGCCTGCAGCAGCAGGTTAATGATTACAGCTGCTTTGCTTATTTGCAGCTGATCCCATCATTTCAGGTTAGACTGACAGGAAGCAGGTCTGCACTGGCAGCCATGTCGCAGAAGTGCGTGTGCGTCTCTGACTTTGAGGAGGAAGCCAGGAGAGTTCTTCCAAAGGCTGTCTACGACTACTATCGCTCCGGAGCTGATGGACAGAACACGCTGTCTGACAACGTGGCAGCCTTCAACAGGTACAGCTCACTCTGACCAGTTCTGCTGGACTCGGACATTTAGGATGAGGGATAAAGGTTAAAGTCTGAGTCGGCACCTGTTGGAGTTCCCACACTTTCCTTTTGATTTTTACCCAAGAGCGTTTTAAACTGCAGCTGCTTGTGTTGTGACCTATGTCGCCCAATACCTGTCAGGCCATCAGAGAGGAGAAGAGAGAAAACCGATAAAATGCTCCAGATTTATTTACAACCCCAACTCCAAAAATATTGTGACATTATGTAAATTATAAATGACATTATGCAGGAAAATATCTCAAAGCTGCATCGATGCAACAGCTGTTTAAAATAGTTTAAATTAATAGCTGGAGAAACATTTTGCAACTAATAAAGTTGATTGGCAGCGGGTCAGTTCAGGGTTCGTATTTATCAAATTTAGACTTAAGTGCTGAGAATTTCTTAAATTTATTCCTACTTTCAGACTTAAGTCTGGAGCCCGCGAGGGGACATGGGAGAAATAAATATATAAAAACAGATCCTGACTTACTTTCAGGATTCAGAGAAAGTAAGTCAGGATCTGTTTTTTTTTTTCTCCCGTGTCCCCTCGCGGGCTCCAGACTCAAGTGTAAAGGCCAGTTATGAGAATTATTAATCCTAAGAGTCACTTTTACTCTCCGGGATATTTAAGGCAGCTCCAGAGGTCTCAGCTGGTTAAGAGTTGCTGTTTTGTTGGAGCCTGGAACGACTGAGAGGACAGATCACAGCTGTTCTCAAGGATACACTGCACCTCCTCAGAAACTGCATGGGAGTCCCCCACCCGAGTTTGATTCTCAGTTATAATGTACAGAGTGATTAAAATAAGGTGTGGAAAATGGGTTTAATCATGCAATACAAAATAAATGAGGGGGGAAATTATTTCACATACCTGTGTGCATAATGTTGGACTTAAAAAGGAGATTTCTGTGCAGTTTTTGGAGAGAATATTATACCCTCTTTTTAATACACTGCTTAGCCAAAAAACAAGTCACACTCTAATATTTCATTGGATTTGGCTTTGATTACGGCATGCATTCACTGTGGCGTTGTTTGGATTTGCTTTTGCAACATCACAAGATTTATTTCCATCCAGTGCTGCATTAATTTTTCACTAAGATCTTGTATTGATGATGTTAGAGTCTGACCGCTGAGCAAAGCCTTCTCCAGCACATCCCAAAGATTCTCAGTGGACTCTGTGGAGCCAGTCCATAATGTCTCATGCTCCCTGAACCACTCTTTCACAATCCCAGCCTGATGAATCCTGGCATTGTCATCTTGAAATATGGCCGTGCCATCAGAGAAGGTAAAATCTATCGCTGGAATAACCTGATCATTCAGTATATTCAGGTAGTCAGCTGACCTCAGTCTTTGAGCACAAACTGTTGCTGAACCTGGACCTGACCAACTGCAGCAACCCCACATCATAGACCTGAGTTAAATCCAGGTGGAGACTTTTATTTTATTTTATTTTTTTTTTGCTAGTAAGATGGTGAATAAATGCAGTGACAAAAAAATCCATGAGATTTCCTCTACAAGTCTGTATTCATGGAAAATAAGGAAAATCTGTGTAATGTTCAGACAATCTGTACAAAGTGACGTGAACGTTACTGTGTTGAACGTGAACTTCATAATTTTATCTTGACATTACTCAGATGCAGTGATTGGTCCGTGCCTAACGACATCGTCCAGGATCAGCTTTGCGGCACTACAAAGTGTTGTTAAATCAGCTCTTAGATTTAGATACTGTGCTTAAAGGGATCCACAATTAGTTGTAACATTAGACTTTATTTGATAAACATTTATTTTAGCTGTAAAATAAAGACTGTAAAAATACTATAGACTGTTTAGTTTTGTAAATTTTTTAAAATATATTTTAACACGGACGGAGCCATTTTAATTACACGCAAAGCATTCTGGGTAAATGACGACGTGAATAGGTCCTCGGTGCGAGGCTGCTAGCGAGCTATATCCACCCTGAAGGTTAATCTTGGACAATATCTGATGATCGACTCTTTTAAATGAAACCAGAGAGCGTTGACAGAGAGGAGAAGGTAGAAATGACTCAGCCTGTAACTGAAAATATGGATGGAGGACAACAGAGCTGCTTCATGGAAGAAGAACATCAGCTTAGCCTGTTAGCCTTTGCGCTAGCGCCGACGCTACTGCCTTATATGAATTAGCTCGGCACTAGCGCGACAAAGAACCTAAACTGAGGTCTTCCATACTGAGTCATTTTTTGTGTTTCCCCTCTCTGTCATGTGGATGGAGGACCTCAATGACGAGAGGAGAACGTGTAGCGCTGAGCTAATACATATATATGGTGATAGCATCGGGGTTAATGCTAAAGCTAACAGACTAAGCTGAAGTTCTTCTTCCATGAAGCAGCTCTGTTGTCCTCCATCCATATTTTCAGTTACAGGCTGAGTCATTTCTACCTTCTCCTCTCTGTCAACGCTCTCTGGTTTCATTTAAAAGAGTCGATAACCAGATATTGTCCAAGATTAACCTTCAGGGTGGATATAGCTCGCTAGCAGCCTCGTGCCGATGACCTATCCACGTCATCATTTACCCAGAATGCTTTGTGTGTAAATAAAATGGCCTCGTCTGTAATATATTTTTAAACTTTTAGTTTAAAAATTATACAAACTGAACATCCTACAGTATTTTTACAGTCTTTATTTTACAATTAAAGTATATGTTTATCATTAAAGTTTAATGTTAAAACTAATCGGAGATGCTTGATAACTGACTTTTAAGCCTAACTTTAAGCTAAGAATTATTTTACACTTAAATACATTCTTTCCAGCAATGCTTTACGTGGAAAAAGAAATATCGGTACTCCCCTTAATGTCATATAAATACGGGACAGAAATATACGTAATATTTTAAATTAATCTATCGATCAATCTATAGATCTGGAGATTTATTACACAGCTGACAAAGAACTAAACCAGTTCTAAATCAAACTCTATTCAGTTGGTCAGTACTTGAGTACTTACCAAATTTCCCTCTGGGATCAATAAAGTATTTCTGAATTTGAACTGAATTGAGTAGCCTTTTTACCAAAAACTTGTTTTATTCTTACCGGAGTAATTTCTTAGAGGGATACTTCGAACTATTAGTTGAGAAAAAAATACAGTATAAGTGGTGAAATTCTTACCTAAGAACAATTAGTGGGTACTCTACCCACCTGTGCTTGTGGGTGAATTCTGCTTCATATTTTCTGCCATATTCTTTTCTTGATGTCTGTTTTCACAGTTAGTTTGAGCCTCGTTGATCAGTCTGGTTGGAACAGGATCTAGCAGGCTGTTCATGGTTTGGATAAAGCTCCTGTATAAAGATGAAGCTGTAGCTTTACAAAGGGCTTTATTATATGTTAGCAGACTCTTTCTCCAGGTTAAATAAAATTCTTCCATGTTAGTGAAGCACCAGTTTTTAATCCTAACTTTCTAAATGTCTGTTTTAAAATACACCACTCTGAATTAAACCAAGGCTCCAGCTTCCTCTGACTGATCATTTTTTAAAACAGCAGTTTTATTAAGAGCACATCATTCGCTAATATTAAACCTCCACACCTCAGCATGACACGATTTGTTTAGTTTGTTGCTGTTTTCTCGATCCAACATCATCTCTGTTGAGATGTAAATGTATGTGTGCTGAGAACTGACAGCTGATGGTGCTGAGGCTGAGTTGAGTGAAACTTTGGACAGGAAGGATGCACTGATCAGCTGGATCTGCCTCTCTCTCTCTCTCTCTCTCTCTCTCTCTCTCTCTCTCTCTCTCTCTCTCTCTCTCTCTCTCTCTCTCTTGTCCTTTCTCTTTCTTTCTTTCTTTCTTTTAATTTGTCAAATAAGGTTTAACTGTTGAGTTTGAGTTCATTATGGCATAAAATTCAAAGTGTATTTAACTTTGTTTCCTAAAACCTTTGGTGTTCCACCCCAAAAAAAATGTATTTATATTTCATTTCTGGATTACAAAATGTTTGTAAATTTGCTATATTTAAATTAGATTTATTAGGTTTGAAAAGGAGAAGCAATAACAGATTTTACTCAGCTGCTGAACAAACATTTGTTCGAAGCTCGTACATGAGCTCTAAATACATTCTGAGTTTAAATTAATTTTCCAAGTAAAACCAATAAAGCCAGCCTTTCAAACATAAAGCCCAGCTGTTACTCTGCGCAAATAAAAATAATCATCCAAATTATGGTCAGTTTGTTTGCAAATATCTCAAACAATTAAACAGGTTTTATTAAAACTCCAGAAAAGTATTTATTGGATGTATATCTTCAGCTGGTTACTTTGGCCCTCATGGTAGATCATAAATAGCAAACAAATGTCTATAATTCAGTCAGTTTTACTGTGTTCAACATTAGCGTGGTAGTAGCTGAGTTCACAAAGTGAGTTATATCTTGGGATGCTACATAAAAAAAAACATCCTTTAACTTGATCACAAGTTTTCCTTGAAGGGGTGGTAGTATGCAAAATAGATTTTCTTAAGCTTCATATCATGTTATAATGTCATTCCCTCATTAAAAACATCCCCAGACTGTTGCTTTGACTCATTCATGCATTTTTGAGAAATCCTTGAATCTCCTGTTGCAGCCACGTGGAGCTGCCTGAACACTTGCTGGTACAAAGCACTGTCTACACAAAGCTCCTCCCTGGAGGTTAGTCTGCAGCCAAGCTCCTGAAGCACTGTTGTGAAAACGTGCTGAAGTGGAAGTGTCTAAAACGGTAGGAGGTTCTAGAGAGCCAGAGGCCAATTGCAATGTGTTTAGATACGATGCAAAGTCAAATTTATTTTTGATATGTAGAGCATTTTCATGTTTTTAAGTGGTGGTTACAGTAATATGTTACCCCTGAAAATAATGTGACCAAAGGGACATGTTAACTCAAGGTGTCCACTAATTAGCATCACAGGTCTCTACAATCTTGTAATCAGTCAGTGGGCCTGTATATAGGGCTACAGATACTCACTGTGCTGTTTAGTGACAGAGTGTGTACCACACTCAACATGGACCAGARGAAGYGAARGAAAGAGTTATCTCAGGAGATAAAGAAAATTATAGACAAGCATGTTAAAGGTAAAGGTTATAAGACCATCTCCCAGCAGCTTGATGTTCCTGTGACTACAATTGCACATATTCAGGAATTTAAGATCCAGGGGACTGTAGCCAACCTCACTGGACATGGCCGCAGGAGGAAAATTCATGACAAATCAAAGAGACTGATAATACAAATGGTAACAAAGAGCCCAGAAAAACTTTTAAAGAGATTAAAGGTGAACTTCAAGCTCAAGGAACATCAGTGTCAGATCAAACCATCCATCGTTGTTTGAGCTAGGGCTGCCACAAACGATTATTTTAATAATCGATTAGTCGTCGATTAATTGATTAATCGTGGCAGCCCTAGTTTGAGCCAAAGTGGACTTAATGTGGGATGACCAAGTAGGACGCCATTGTTGAAAACAAATTATAATAAAGCCAGACTGGAATTTGCCAAACTACATGTTGACAGCCTACAAAGCTTCTGGGAGAATGTCCTCTGGACAGATGAGACAAAAACTGAACTTTTTAGCAAGGCACACCAGCCCTGTGTTCACAGAGGGAAAATGAAGCATATCAAGAAAAGAACACTGTCCCTACTGTGAAACATGGAGGAGGCTCTGTTATGGTCTGGGGCTGCTTTGCTGCATCTGGCACAGGGGGTCTTGAAACTGTGCAGGGTACAATGAAATCTCAAGACTATCAAGGCATTCTAGAGAGAAATGTGCTGCCCAGTGTCAGAAAGCTTGGTCTCAGTCGCAGGTCATGGGTCCTGCAACAGGATAATGACCCAAAACACAGCTAAAACACCCAAGAATGGCTAAGAGGAAAACATTGGACTATTCTGAAGTGGCCTTCTATGAGCCCTGACCTAAATTCTGTTGCTTAAACATGCCGTCTGGAAAAGGCACCCTTCAAACCTGAGACAACTGAAGCAGTTTGCTCGTGAGGAGTGGACCAAAATACCTGCTGAGAGGTGCAGAAGTCTCATTGACAGTTACAGGAATCGTTTGTTTGCAGTGATTGACTCAAAACATTGTGCAACAAAATATTAAGTTAAGGGAATCATCATTTCTGTCCAGGCCTGTTTCATGAGTTTTATTATTCTGTTGAAGCATGGTTGAAAAGCAATGTCTGAATTTCATTTGTTCATTTTCNTTAATGTGGGATGACCAAGTAGGACGCCATTGTTGAAAACAAATTATAATAAAGCCAGACTGGAATTTGCCAAACTACATGTTGACAGCCTACAAAGCTTCTGGGAGAATGTCCTCTGGACAGATGAGACAAAAACTGAACTTTTTAGCAAGGCACACCAGCCCTGTGTTCACAGAGGGAAAATGAAGCATATCAAGAAAAGAACACTGTCCCTACTGTGAAACATGGAGGAGGCTCTGTTATGGTCTGGGGCTGCTTTGCTGCATCTGGCACAGGGGGTCTTGAAACTGTGCAGGGTACAATGAAATCTCAAGACTATCAAGGCATTCTAGAGAGAAATGTGCTGCCCAGTGTCAGAAAGCTTGGTCTCAGTCGCAGGTCATGGGTCCTGCAACAGGATAATGACCCAAAACACAGCTAAAACACCCAAGAATGGCTAAGAGGAAAACATTGGACTATTCTGAAGTGGCCTTCTATGAGCCCTGACCTAAATTCTGTTGCTTAAACATGCCGTCTGGAAAAGGCACCCTTCAAACCTGAGACAACTGAAGCAGTTTGCTCGTGAGGAGTGGACCAAAATACCTGCTGAGAGGTGCAGAAGTCTCATTGACAGTTACAGGAATCGTTTGTTTGCAGTGATTGACTCAAAACATTGTGCAACAAAATATTAAGTTAAGGGAATCATCATTTCTGTCCAGGCCTGTTTCATGAGTTTTATTATTCTGTTGAAGCATGGTTGAAAAGCAATGTCTGAATTTCATTTGTTCATTTTCATAGAATTTTCATTTATTATTACTTTTGTCAGATTCTAGTTATTTCTGTGACCACTGTGGGTTTTTCTTTCATTAAATTAGGGGTACCAACAGTTTTGTCCTTGTGTGTGTGTATGTGTCCTGATCAAAGCTAAAGACGATCTAACAAAATATTAAGAGTTTGTGACCTGTGATTTTGGCAGTGTATGTTTAGACAAGAGATTTTGTTTATGTGGAATGATGGAAACTAGAATTAAGGTGTTTGTCAACTTCCAGCTTCTGGTCAAAGTTATATTAGTTACCATTTTTCTTTAATATTAGCCACTCCTCTGTGATTTATTCTATATTACTTTTTAAAAATTGTGTGTGTCCTAGGTGGCATCTTATCCCTCGAGTAATGAGGGATGTGTCTATTGTGGATTTGTCTTTGACCATGTTGGGACAGAATCTCAGCATGCCTCTCTGTGTTGGAGCCACAGCAATGCAGAGGATGGCTCATCCTGCAGGAGAGACGGCTACAGCAAGAGGTTACTACACACACACACACACACACACACACGCACACACACACACACACACACACACACACATCCTTGTGCATTCGTATAACTAAGGACTTTGATTTCCATTCATTTTTGTAACTGTATTTATGCCTAACCCAGACATTTTCCATAACCCTAACCATTACTGGTCTTTAGTTAACCCTAACCTGAACCAAAGCTTAGTTCACACCATAACTCTAAACCAAACTAGTAGAACACAGTAGAACTGCAAAAAAGTGAGGACCATGAAAATGTCCTCACTTCCACTCACTTTGTTGGTTAAAACATGATGGTCCTCACTCTGTAGCAGAAACAAGTGCACACACACACATATGCACTCACCTATAAACACACAAAGCTGGGAATACAAAATGTCTATATTTATTTCTCACTACAAAAAGCAAACAGGCAATAATGGTTTCTGTGTGCGAGTTTGATGTTTGTACAAAATATGAACCACTTACAGATGTGAGGGGATTTACAGCTGTAAATCCCCTCACATCTGTAAGTGGTTCATTTAATCAACAACTGATTAAATGGTTAATGGCTTTGAATTATGTAGCACTTTATCAAGTCCATACAGACTCCAAAACACTTTACACTTCAACCATTCACTCGTACATTCACACACTGATAGTAGTAAGCTACAAAACATGTCGTTTTCTGTTGCGCAATTCTTTATATTATATATTTTTATTCGTATCATGGCTAGTCAGTGTTAATTTTTGTTTTGTGTGTACTCTCTATAGTTTGTAAAGCAACTAGTGTGTGAACCTCTGTACTGACGCTGCAGTGACACCTGAATTTACCCTCAGTGGGACAATAAATGCTATTTCTATTCTATTCTATTCTATTCTACATTGTAGCCCCAGCTACACTGAGGCATACATACATATTAACTTCTGGACTCAACTAAATTCTGGATGGCCACCACACCAAAGTGATATTAACACACAAAAATGTCTTTAAAGGCACAGTATTTTGTCAATTCTTTTAGCCGAACTTGAGATAATCACTGATGACAATAATAAAAAACATGTCTGATCATTGCAGACAAAGACCTTGTTTTATTATTTTTACCTTATAAAAAGCTGTTTATATCTCCATGGTCGCGGGTCACCACTACAGGCAGCCGCCATCTTGCACCACCATCTTGTCTACGAAGGCTCATGAAGGACAAACTGCGGTGGCAGTGTCAAAAACGGTTTTAGTTGTAATACTATAAATGTAATATTTGTTGTCTGTCATTGTAGCTGGGATAATTTTACTTATTAAAGCTCATAATCTTACCACTTGAAACATCACTAGCCCTGAAGCTGCTGGTAGACATCGCGGTTGGAATTATCAAAGGTTTTTGACACCTGAGAGACACCGTAGCAACTCCTTTGCGTTTGGAAGCGGGGGGTGGGGGTGGGGGGAGGACCAGGGAGGATGATTCAACCACTCAACCACTAGATGTCGCTGAAAACAACAAATCCTACACACTGTGCATTTAACTCTGTCAGTTTTACAGAAACTGAGCTAATATTTGTAAAGCTGTTAGCTGAGACTGATCCCTAAATGATACTCTAAACACTGACTGTACAAGATCTGGATTCAGGATTTTGCAATTGGATTCAACTCTGTCTGACCTCAAAATATCCATTCAACCACTGAATGGTTTTTAAAGCTGAAGCCCTGAGTTCAGAGAAAACCGTGAACATAGCGTGAAAATTTGGAATGGGGAGTGTGGCTGCCCAATCTGTACCGGAAGCACGATCTGTACTGTCCCAGAAACATTGTTTTTAGTATGTAGCATTTCGCTAAACTGATGACAGAATTCATTCGATTTCAGTCTTTCATCATCTGCAATTTTTCATAGAAAAGGCAATGTTTTAGCTGTGGATTTTTATTCCAGGAAAAAAATTAAATGAAGAAAAGATGAGTTATAACATTATTGTCTAGAAAATAGTTAGCAAGTTATTATAAATAAATATGTCTATGATTTAGCGCATGCGCAAATGAGGTGACAGTACGGATCATGCTACCGGAACTGATCAGGCAGCCACAGGGAGCGCAGCAGAGAGCAAGGGGGCAGGGCCTCACCTTACCCTCCCCCTTGCTCTCTGCTGCGCCACATCCCTCCTTTCACAGCTCCTCCCCCACAGCACAGCCTGCCCTGAACATGTGGGTTTAGCAGCAGGGACTCCACAGATTCTAAATCCTCAGAAATTGTCAGTTTTCCTGTAACGTTAAGTTCTTTCTCTGCTCTGATTGACTGTTCCTGACTGGAAGCTTATTCCTGTAAACTGCAGTAGTACCACTGGAAGGAGCCAGAGGAGCTTGATTTTTTTAAACAGTTTTATGTAAAAAATAAAATGAATAAATACATTTTTACAGGGGTAATATTATGTGTTTCTCGGGCATATATTTAAATTCTATACCATAATAAAAAACTGTCACCTTCAGTTGTTAAAATGTTGGTTTTAAGTTTAAATCAAAAATAAACTTGACTTCTAATCATATCAGTTTCTAAACACCTTGAAATTGGCCTCTGTCTCTTTAAGAACCACCTTCCGTTTCTGTCCCACCCATTTCTGCCTGCAGGAGTCATGGGCGGGGTGCGTAGGGGAAAGAGTGGGGTGTGCTCTGTGATGAGGAAGCTCAGCTTGGAGACACAGCCCAGAGGAGGAGCTGATCCCAAAAGGCGGTTCTAGGCCCAGTCGGTCGTTTTTGCTCCCCTGCCTGGCTGCCTCAGGACAGCACAGGATTTCTCATGAATGAGTCAAAGCAAACCTCTGGGCATGTTTTTGATGATAACATTATAACATGATATAAAACTCAAAAAAGTTGATTTACACGATATTTCCCTATTTAAGTTACCTGCTGCAGTTTTAATGAAACCTTTCAAAAGTAATCATAGAATCCATAACTGATTACTTTTAGGATCCAACCAACTCAAGATGGCTGCCACAGTCCCCTGGCCTTATAAAACTCAATAATGGCTGTAGCTCAAACAATTTTATTGATACTGAGCTGAAATTTGGTGTGGTAGTAGAAAAAATATTTATTCACAACCCATGCTCCAAGTCCTAACAGATCAGCTGAAATATCGCATATTTGAATGAAATGATGCACATTATTTTTTAAGGTTTGAGCAGAACAACTACAACTACATCACTTCTCAACCTGAGATGATCTTAGTCACGACCTTTGGGTTGTAAGGCAGTGGGCATTATGCATTCCTTAAAATAAAGCTAAGCATTTTAATGCACATCATGATTCTAAGGATAATCTGTTTATGGAATATCTGTAACATCTTCCACCCTGATGTATGTCGCAGCATGCAAAGCAGCAGGAACAGGGATGATGCTGAGCTCCTGGGCCACCTCCAGTATAGAAGAAGTGATGTCAGCGATGACGACCTCACCGGGCAGCGGGGGTGTTCTCTGGATGCAGCTGTACATCTACAAAGACCGAGAGCTCACGCTGTCTTTGGTGCGCAGGGCGGAAAAGGCAGGGTACAAAGCTATCTTTGTTACTGTAGATACTCCATACCTGGGGAAGAGGCTGGACGATGTGCGCAACCGCTTTAAAATGCCCCCACATTTGAGGTAGGACCTAGCTACAGATGTAATCCACCTGTCAATTTCTGCCAACTTAACAAAAGGTTGTGCTGTTTTAACTCTTTAATGTGTGTGTGTGTGTGTGGGTGGGGGGGGGTTGGCTTTGGTGACATTTGGGGGCAATTATAAGAACAAAATCCTACATTTAGGGACAAAAGTCGAGTCCCCATTTGGTTTAAATGCCATTGGTGGGTTGGGGTTGGGTTTAGGACCAAGGTGCGAATTGAGTTTAGGTTAGTTTTAGGGTCAGGTAGGTACCTGTGAGGTTAGGGTTTGGGTTAGTGGTCAAGGTTAGACTGTAGAAACGTAATGAAAGTCAATGGAATGTCCCCAATTGCATAGCTGTGCAAACTTGTGTGTGTGTGTGTGTGTGTGTGTGTGTGTGTGTGTGTGTGTGTG